TTACCTGGGAAGGATTTTAAAATCTGAATGCCCACAACCATTCCAACTGAATCAGAATCTCTGGGGTCAGAATAGGCATCAGTGCTAGCCCTTCAGGTAATTCCAGGGTGCATCCAAATTTGAAGAGCCAGTGCGTTATGCCTCCTACAACTAAGAAAAAGGCACAACTCCTATGGGCTACTTTGGATTTTTGAGACAATACTCCACACATGAGGGTATCCAGCTGCCTCCCATTTGCCTGATAACTGTAAAAGCAGTGAGTTTCCAGTGGGACCCTGGACAAGAGAAAGATTGCCAGCTGGTCCGGGTTGCAAGCAAGTTGCCCTGCCCTGGATTTCTTATTTTACATCGTTCAAAGGGTGTGAAGTAGACTGCAGTGATGGATGAAGACTGTGGCTAGACTCGACAGAAAACTTGCTGCCCAGGCCCACTGAACTCCAGAGCAGGGAAATGCCCTTTGAGCAGATAACATCATTTCCTTTTAAATAGGAGTTAGCATAATTTTTTCCCCTCTCCCTTCCTTGTCTCTCACTGTTGACTCAATAGTGTGTTTGGGTGTGAGCTAAATTTATTATTTATTTCACAGATTGCAGACTAGTCAGATGGGCTCTCTGAGGAACCAAAGGAGAAATGGTTGTTATCTGGAGAAAATAGACTCTGAGAAGCCTGGCCCTCTGGCATTATCTGTGGATTCTGTGTTCTGCTGTTAGGAGAGGACTGTGCTAGAGTAGTGCACAGTGTTTTTGGATTATGGTAGCAGGACACATTTCAGATGTGTGGGAAGAAATGATTGACAGCCAGCCAGCTCTAAGTGGAATGTAGTGGATGCTTTCAGAGGCATCTACTCAGCTCACAACAATAGACCGAGAACTGCCCCATGGTATAATCCACCCTCTAGTAAACCTACCCCAAGGCACAACTGCTGGAAGCATGAGTGGATGTGCCATTTGGGTTTCTTTTCCAGGAATTTAGAGCTTTGAAGGAAGAAACTCTTGAGTCTGGTGGTAGTTGGAGCTGGGTCCTGTTGGCCGAACTCTAGGGGATGTTCACAATTTTCCACTGTTGAAGCCCTGTGAAACCCTGTCACTTGCTCATGGCCCAGTTGTAGTGATGTGCTGGTAAATTTTTACACAACCAACTCCTACAAAAGAGAAAATGGAAGTGAAGGGAAGAAAAGGGGGAGAGGAAGGGGAGGGGAAGGGAGCGGCTGGAAGAGAAGGGAAGGGAAGGGAAGGGAAGGGAAGGGAAGGGAAGGGAAAGGAAGCAAAGGGCAAGGTAAGGCGAGGTGAAAGAGACCTGATTTCCAGTGTTTGCTGATCCCCGTGGTGTAGATACTCCCACCATGGCTGATACCAAGCTACCACAGTGAAGTCACTGAACAGGGAGCTGGGAAGTATTGTGTACAACAGGCTGTCACAGGCAGGAATGAACCAGCTTCAGTACACCACTGTATGGTTGTCAACTCTGGCTTGTAGTCCATGGAACTCTCCAGTAACCTCCTAATAACCTCTTTTGGGTTTAGACAGCTCAAGGGGAATGCATGTTCCTTGCAACCAAAATATACTTAACTGAAATACCTAGCTAACATAACCACCTTTTATCCTGAACAGTTAGTCAATTCACTGAAAGTGTGTTCTAACTTTGGCTGATTTTTCACAGCCCCATAATTTAAAGATGTACAGCTATTTTCATTTATATGCATGCACAATTCACATTTATTTCTACAAATGGGCAGTCTTCGCCAGGTCCAGAAAAGAATGTGGTTGGCTTTTTGTTGTTGTCATTTTTTTTTAATCACTGCCGTTGCTCAGAATGTTATCTTTGGAAATCCCTGTCCTCTCGTGTCCAGTTTAGGGAACTGCTCTCTGCTTTTGTCTTAGCTGTGAACGTTCTAAGGAGGGCCATGAAGAGGTGAGTTACAAGCTTCTGACGCTCATCAGGGACTATTCCTAGGGTATAGACAGGTGGATATTATGCATATTGGTTCTCCCACGTTTGCTTCTTAATGAAGTCCAAGGGAATTTTACCAGCGTTTCTCAACCTCATCACTATTGATATTTTGAGCCAGATAATTCTTTGTCATGGGGGATGTCCTGTGCATTTTAGGATGTTTAGCAGCACCCCTGGCCTCTACCCAGTAGATGCGAATATCAACCCCACACACACCATGTTGTGACAATTTAGCGATATCTTCAGACATCGCCAAATATCCCTGGGGTTGGGGTGGGGCCTGGGGAACGGAGGTGATGGTGCAAAACCATCCTGGTTGGGAACCACTGCTCTACACTGATGAAGCACGTGTCCACCACAAGCGGCACTGAACTGGAAGCAGCACTGAACCCCGTACATCACACACCAGGCTGGAGCCTGAGGCTCAGGATGCGCCTCCTGAGTTACTGCACTACATACTACAGGAGGGAAGGTTTCAGGTGCCGGGTATAAAAGCATCTGCTTAGTAACAGGACACAGAGTCCACAATCAAAATTAAGTTTGTGGTTTTTTTCTACTTATAAAAAGCACTTCTTGAGGCATGATGGGAGTGGATGTGATCATTCATTCATTCATTTTGTAGATACTGGTAAAGCAGTGCTTCTGAGATACGCAATATAATAGATGCAGAAGCTGATGCAAATGCAGGCTGGGGTCCTGCCTTTAAGGAACGGATGATGCTAAAAGGACCCAGTGGGGGACATTTTCAGTTGTAAGAGAAAGCCCAGTTCCAACCGGCTCGAACAATAATGGCACTTGATTGGCTCACACATTTGAAAAGCCCACGGGCAGTGCAGGCTTCAGGTAAGGCTGAAGCCAGAGGCTCAGGGCTGTCATCAAGGACAGGGTTTCCTTCAGTTTCTCTGCTCTTCCAGACCTATGTCTGTTTCATCCTAATGCTGATCTTCATTATCGTCACCGGAGATGTTAGCAGCTCCCAATGTTACATGCTTCCTCATTTCCTGAGGACCTGAGATTCATTTTGATAGGACCAGTTTAGGTCACCTGTCCACCCTGGAATCAATCATTGCCACCAAAGGAATGAAAGGTGCTGATTGGCTACCCTGGTTCACTTGCTCCAATGGAAATCACAGACTCCGTCAAGGAGAACAAGCATTGCTGGGAGGAGGGAAAGGGAGCCACAAATACAGGGCGAACGTGGAGCCCTTAACCAGCCAAAGTGCTCTCATGGTCATTGCTGCTTTTTACGCAGCCTCTGCCAGGTGGTTTCACTCAGTCCCAAGGCCTCAGCACCATTTGTGTGGGTGTCTATGAAAGTCTTACCACTGCCCCCTGCTTTCCATCTGCTGCTTCTCCCTCTGCCGTCCCATTCCACCTCCACTCCTCACAGTGATCCCTCCTCTCTTTCAAAGCTCAGTTCAGAGTCAGCTCCTCTGAGGCTATTTCCGCCGCCCCAGACACCTTCTCTCCTCCACCCTTACCCTTATTGTCCCTGGCCCGGCGTTGCTCAGCTTTCACTTGTCTGCGTCTCCAACTTGGCTACATGGTCAGTTTAGACCTACCTTCTGCTCCTGAAGAATTGTTGGTCTAAGTTCTCTCCTTAATGCCTAATGAAGAAATGGAGAGCTTTTTATGGTGATTCCTTGGTGCCCTCAAATTTCAAAAACAAGCTGGTTAATGTGTGTGTGTGTGTGTGTGTGTACATGTGAAAGACTGAGGGAGGCACACTGGGGCTGTGGAAAGAGCAAAGGATTTACAGTCAGACAGTCCTGGGTTTGCATCCTAGCTCTGCAATCCTTTTAGATTTGAGGCTTTGACTGATGGATCCTCACTGAATCCTGATTTCTCTCCTTATCAAGTATGCATTGCATGTTATGCATTCATGCCTTCTATGATGCTTCACATTTGTGTGTATGCTACCATGCCGGTTGTTAACTTACATACCATTTACATTTAACCAACAGTACATTTAATAAAGACTTCCAACTATAAGTATTGCAATAGCTGTGGTTCCCTCCCCTTATTGTAAATCACATGGTGGATTTGGCTGGGCGACATCAAAGATGAGTCATTCCAAGCAGGAAGAGAAGTCAGACCCTCCTAGCCTTAAAGAAACTTCTTCCCTTCCATCCGGCCCCTCTGCCCAATTACACCCTGCAGGGCACCGCCTTGGCAGAATGGCTCCTGTGCCCAAAGGTCTTAGATCAGCCCTGCATGCACTACAGAAAGACTAAGAATGATCCCATAGTCTTTTGTTTTTTACATGATTCATTTTAACTAATTTAATGCATTTGGGCAGATTTAGTGCATAAAACGTGGGCTATGGTACAGGCTGGGAACATATCTAGTTTTTAAAATATTCTTATGGCAAAGATGCCCCTTGCCAAGATTCTTCTGTAAAGTGGCAGTTTCCTTGATATGAAAGGTGGCTCTCCGTATGTATGGTGTCAACACATTTATCCTTGTCAGCTTTTCTGGCTTTAGCGTCAGCTCAGCACTTCCCAGCTGGGTGGCTTAACCTTTCTGAACCTCACTTTGCTCATCTATAAAAGTGGAATGATTCTCTATGAGGGCATCATGCCCTGTTGTATATCCAGGGCACTACACTCCATCAGCCTGGTCACCTTTAATCTTTGTATTTATTACAAATACACATGCCCAGACCTGCTAGAAATCCAGCCTTTCCCCAGGGTGCCCTTGACCAGATATAGCCCCCAGAGGTCAGGACTAGTAACCCCCAGAATGGTTAAGGTATTTTCTTCTCCCATTGGCCTGGTGCCCCACCCGGGCTTCCAGGACAAGCCTTTTCCTACTGCGTCTCCCACGGGCAGTTAATTACTTTAGTGCATCACTCTGGAAATCTCTATATGTGAATATTTGTTGTTTTCAAAGTTGGCAAATCTCAACCATGTTCTTTCGATCTGTGTAATAGTGGACATATTTTTTAGAAGCACATGAGGACATTTTGGAGTCTAAAAATTTAAAATTCTATCCTCAACAGTTCTGAACATCTTTGGGGAAAAAATACCCAATCCATGACCAGACCAGAATATACTGAGAAAATAATTTATTCAATTGTAAATCAGGTATATTTTTTTAATGTTTAAGAATAACTATTAATGAGATCTTTACTCTGTCCACTTGGGATTTAAATTGAATTTTTAAAAAAATCAAGATTTCCTCAAAAGTAAACATCAGCCCATTTCTTTCAGGAGAGATGATTTCTTTGGTTTAGGACTTAAATCATTCACTTCCCCTACTCCGGAATGGGTCCCAGTAAACTTGAGTTACAGAGAAGCGAGACCTCCTTTCTCTCTACCAAGTCCACTTCTTCAAGGTTTTCGTTGGTTTGGTTTGGTTTGGCTGGGTTTGTGATGTTTTTTAGCAAGAGGAGTAGGAGGCACAATGGAACGGTGAAGGAAACATAGGTTTCATTTGACCAGAGAAGCCCACTGTGCTGAACATCAAGCCAGTGCAATGATTCTTCAAATAAATCACTTAAAAATGGAAACCAATCACCTAAACTGAGACACAAGCAAAATATAAATACGCCTGCATATATATGTAAATGTGGCCTCCTAATTTCCTTTACACCGAATTGCTTAACTTTAAATAATATGCATGATTTCATAGCTTCTCTTAGAGAAGAGAATCAAATATTCAGCTGTGCAGTCACGAGGACTGGGTCTCCCATTGCCACCCCCTGCTTTTGATATAAAATCAATTAACCATTTTATTAAATGGGTCTGGCTGTTGCACCCCAGTGGTGCAGATGGGGCAGGGGAAAATGAGAGGTTACTTGGAGGGCCTTTCCTCCAACCCACCCCTTGATGTCAGCCCTCCAAGAGGGGCATGATAGGCTGAGGAATCCTGAGGGTTAGAGCAGGTGGCAGCGGGCCTTGATGAGAACTGATTGTCACGAGGCCTGGGTCTTGGAAATGCCTCTTCAGTCCACTGCAGGACTGTCTCTCTGACACCACCCACTTCCTCTGGTCAGCACTGGAAGACACAAGTTGCAGAATCTAGCAGGCTGAATGCGACGTGGGCAAAACAAGAAGTATCTTCAATTCAAGTGTCCTCTGCTCTGGTTGTCCTGGGATAGAGGAGGCTGAAGGCCATCCACAGTGTACCCTCACATTCAGCGCTTGGACCCATGCTGTATTTAAGCGCCAAACCCACATCCTGTGCTCCTCCGTGCTCGTTCTATTCTCTTTGCTATTTCATGGCAAACTCACTTGGAGGCTTTTGTTTTCACTTCCTGAGCACACATTGGCTCATTCAGATTCCCCGTGACTCCAAACGTTCATGATATCCACTGAGAATCTCCACCAATCTTTCACACACAAGTCCAGCAACATCCTGAGAGGAAAGGACATGGACTACAAATGGCCTGAAGCAATCTGCTATTAAAGCCATATGAGGATTGTCAAGGTAAACTGTGTTCTCACTAAGAGTTCTTGCGGCAAAGCAACTGTGTTGCTCTAGACTCAGCAAAGACAAGAAAACTGAAATCCGGGGGAACTCCCCACAATTGTATCTTGTTGCCAAACACTTCCCTTAGCACCTCTTTCTACAGTATGTTATCTGGCGCATGTAGAGTGTTTCTGGTTTTCTTTCTTTCTCTTTTTTTTTGCTTTTTGGTTTAGCTGATAGTATTTCCCCCAAGCCATGAATAGACACAAAATCACTGGGAATGCACATCTGATTACCATAGGTTCATTCTCCCATATTATAAGGCTCAACGTTATAAGGAGGTGGAGTATATACTTGCTGGGGTGGTGTTTTGTTAGTATTTTTCTTTTAGTTAAAATTAAGTGTTACATTTCTGAGAAAGTAGGCAGCATAATACTCTCTCAAATTCAAAAACCTACTGACGCGATTTAAAGTCAGATATTATTTCTCACCAAATTATATTCTTTTGTCTGCCAAGATATCTTGACCGTCTTAATATCTGAAGGCAGGCCTATATGATAATCCCAGCAATATTCTGGGGATAAGATTTTAGTGGGTTTGTTGAGAAGGAAATACTTGTTTAGGTGGCTTTCATCATGCCACTCAGCTTCTATGTCATTTTTCTTGTCCTGAAGGATTCCCTTGAAGCACTCCTGGGTGATGTTTAGGACCTGACTGGGTGTTCCTCCAAAAATGGCCGCATGGTAGTAAAAATCCCCCTGGCCGAATGGAATGTATGCTGCGGACTCCTTCCGCCTCTCGTAGGTAAACGTGTCAGGATCTGCCTTGTACCACCAGGCCTGCAGCTGAGCCACCGACTGGCCCAGTGTCTCCACCCCAAAGGTGTCCTGGAAGACCTGGTCCACGTCCATGCAGAAGAGGAAGTCGACCTCGTGCTGGATGTGGGTCACGATGTGCTCCCCAATGGTCTTCATGCGCATCATGCTGATATCCTGCCACCTCTTCTCAGGCTGGACCTCAAACACTTTGAAGGAACGCAGAGGACCCAGCTCTACCAAAGGCAACCTGGAGACATCGTCCACCATGATGTAGAATATGACTTTGTGGCCAACCATGAAGTGCCTATTAGCAGATGTTAAGAACTCCTCCAAGTAATGCTCAATGTATCTGAAACAAAGAAGAATGGGATCAGTGCAACATCTGACTCTGTGGGAAGACCATGTGCTATTGCAATCACTTTGTTTGTATTTTGAAGTTTAAGAGACCAATGGTTTTCCCCATCCCAAATGTAGGAAGTCTGAAAATTAAGTTCGCGAACTTGTTGCAACGATGCTGCTAACATTTTTTGATATCAGAGGGATTATTCATTATGAATTGGTACCAACTGGACAAACAGTTAACGGAGTTTACTATTAGGAAGTGCTGAAAAGGCTGCATGAGAAAAAAAGTTAGGCAAAAATGACCTGAACTTTTCACCAACAATTCATGGCTCTTACATCCCGACAATGCACCAGCTCACACAGCACTGTCTGTGAGGGAGTTTTTAGCAAGTAAACAAATCACTGTATTGGAACACCCTCCCTACTCACCTGATCTGGCCCCCAATGACTTCTTTCTTTACCCGAAAATAAAGGCAATACTGAAAGGAAGACATTTTGATGACATTCAGGATATCAAGGGTAATATGATGACAGTTCTGATGGCCATTCCAGAAAAAGAGTTCCAAAATTGCTTTGAAGGGTGGACTAGGTGCTGGTGTCGGTGCATAGTTTCCCAAGGGGAATACTTCGAAGGTGACTGTAGTGATATTCAGCAATGAGGTAGTTTCTAGTGCTGTAGGTGCCTGGATGCCTAAGTCTTTTTAATTCTGTGATTCAATATTAGCCTAGGGCCTAGGGCCTGCAGATATAAGCCGCATTCTCCAATTCCAACTTCAGCTGTAATGAAGATGTTATTTACTATCATCCACCTTACTTAGCCCTTTGTCTTAGTTCAGACTGGACAGGCAAACGGGGTGCTATTCTTTCCCCTCCCCCAGCTTTATTGGTATATAATTGACATGCAATGTGTAAGTTCATGGTGTACAACATGCAAATTTGATAGTTATATATTGCAAAATGATTACCACCTTAATGTTAGCTAACACCTCCATCATGCCACATAATTACTATTTCTTTTTTGTGGTGAGAACATTTAGCAGCTTTCAAGTGTATATAATACAGTATTGTTAACTGTAATCACCGTGCTGTACATTAGGTCCCCAGAACTTATTCATCTTATAACTGGAAGTTTGTGCCCTTTGATGAACATCAGGGGGCGCTGGCTCATGAGCTTCCATCAAGAACTCCAACTTATACCCAATGTTGCTACTGCCCTACCAGATGCAACTGTGATTTGACCCTTGGGTCCTTTGGGGATGCATGAAGACTAACCATCGTCACTCTCACATCTTTGTCTGGGAACCAGGGAATGGGTTAAGGGATGTAGATAGCCTTCCATATTACATATTCACCCTGTGAGCCTCCCACTGGTCACCCCAAACCCCAATCCTTTGTCCAGACACCACCATTATAACAGCCATCCAAATACCAGAGCAAACAACCTCTGATTTAGCCTTATTTTAACTATTTTTCCCTTTTTATAATAGACTTTATTTTTCAGAACATTTTTAGGTTCACAGCAAAATTGAGCCAAAAGCACAGTTCTCATGTATCCCCCGTTCCCCCGTCCCTCCCACATCCTCCTCTATCACCATCCAATACTAGGATGGCACATGTGTTCCAATCAATGAACCTACATTGACACATCATGATCACCCCCAAGTCCATAGCATTAAGGCTCTCTCTTGGTGTTGTACATTCGATAGGTATAGACAATTGTATAATGAATTTGTCTATCATTATGTATGGTATAACACAGATATTTTCATTGCCCAAAAAATCCTGTGTCCCACCTACTAATGCATTCCCCTACCTCAACTTCTGGCAACTACTGATCTTTTTAGTGTCTCCATAATTTTGCCTTTTTCAGAACGTCATGTAGTTGGTATCCTATGGTATATAGCCTTTTCAGAGGGGCTTCTTTCACTTAGTATATGAATTTAAGGTTCCTCGGTGTCTTTTCATGGCTTGATAGTTCATTTCTCTTTAGCACTGATAATATTCCCGTCTGGAGGTGCCACAGTTTGTTTATCCATTCATCCACTTGAAGGACACCTTGGCAGCTTCCAAGTTTAGGCAATTATGAGTAAGGCTGCTGTAAACATCCGTTTGCAGGCTTTTATGTGGATATAAGTTTTCAACCCCCTTTGGGTAAATACCAAGGAGCAGAATTGCTGGATTGTATGGTAAGAGTATGTTTAGTTTTGTAAGAAACCACCAAACTGTCTCCTAAAGTGTCTGTACTATTTTGCATTCCCACCAGCAATGAGTGAGAGTTCCTGTTGCTCCACATCCTCGTCAGCATTTGGCGGTATTGATGTGTTGGATTTTGGCAGTTCTTATAGGTGTGTAGTAGTATTTTAGTTATTTATCAGTTCATTCAAAAAACACCATGTTGGGGGACCTGGATAAGCTGTAAGCCAGTCCTGGCCTCTGCCCAAGGGCCAGCTATTACCCGTCGGCCTACTGGGAGCACACCCTGTTATGCCATATGCTGGCCTCTTTCGCCATTCAAGTGGGTCTCATTGGCATTCTCTCTCCGCCCTAATGCTATAAGCTCCCACCTTCAGCTGAGTGGCTTCTTAGTCCGGAGATGGGTGGACACTGGACAGCACTGGGAATTTCAGGGCTGCATTTAGTCAGGAGTCCCAGGCTGTGCCACTCACTGGCTGGAAACCTTTGATATTTATTCTGTAAAACTGGCCCTTGAGACCAGTCCCCACCCCACCAAGACATAGCCCAGAATCCATTAAAAAAAAAAAAAGTAAAAATACAGGATGCCGTGAATTCAACAATGAAACCCCTCATCAATGGATCACAGTGCAAATTCTTTTCACACATTACGTGAGAAGGGTGGTGGCTGACGGGCGAGTGAGAGGAATGGGGTTAATTGTATGGTAACGGATACTAACTAGACTCATGCCTAGTGCTTATAAATATCGAATTCTAATGCCATCCACTTGAAATACAAGTAATCACGAACACTCATGGTCCCACAATCACAATACAATCATACATATATTATATAAGACAGTTAAACAAACAAAAAACAACTATGTTGATGTCTTCTGTAACCCAGGCTACACACCATCTTGTAAAGCCATGGAGATCACATGGAGACAAGCAGAAAGAGTAGAAAGATGGCTTCACCCAACTCATGCAAACCCCAGACTCAGCGAATGTGGACTGAATATAATGTGCTGCTCACAGTCCCGGCCAGTCACCAGCCAATGTTTTGAGAGTAACAATAATGGGCACTTCTTTTCACTTGGGTTGCTGCTTGAATTCCCTTTCTTTCCTACCAAATTAAAGTGTGCTTTTAGCGTTGCCTCTGGAAACCTAAGGGTTGACAGCGCTGAGTCTTTAAATGGACAGAATATGTCTGAGCAACATAAAGGAAGACTTCAACATGGCTCGACATGGCTCCTTGGAGGGTGGCCAGGAAATTCTTTGGTCCTTTGCAACTTTAAGAAAAATCTATTGTGCCCTGAAGCTGGGAGATAATCCTGGGAGGAGGAAGGGAGACATTGTGAGGTTGAACTGTTGTTTAACTTTCAAGCACTGAGGTTGGCTCCTGTATTGTTATTTGAAAATAAACCAAACATCACACCTCTTAAGAGTCCAAATCCACTCTTGTGAGGATTTATTGCTGCTGAATACAAACAGTCCTCTCCTGCCTCAGAACAGAGACCACAGGGCTTTCCCCAGGATATGCCATTTAGGGTTGAGCTCTGCAGAGTTGCAACTGCAGACAAAAAAAGGGGTTCTATGGAAAGCACCTCACAGGGTGATCTGATCATACATTCCTAACTGGGCAGGTCATGGGGGTAGTTACACCCCAGGCATGTAACTTCTTTAGTAAAAGGTTTCTCTTTGCCTTAAGCAAGCCCTGCCCATGGTTTCTGTGCATGTAGGTTAACACACCTTTGAAATAAGTGTAACCACCATCAAGAGGGCACAGAATCTTGTTAACTATCCTGTAACCCAATCCCCGCCTTGCTTTCTCCTACCCTCATGTAATCTTCCTTAGGTTCCCTCCTTCATTTCAAATGCATAAAAGAAGCTGCAAAACTGTCATTCTCTGGAGCATTTGAGAGGTCTTGCTTTCTGGCAATTGTCATCAGTTCGGCTCAAGTAAAACCCTATGAAAATTCTTCATAGGTTTGGATGCTTCTTTTAGCGACACAACTGACGGTTGAAGTCATTGTTGGGCAGTGGGCAGTATTCGGTTCATTTTAGAAACACCAGGATCCAATCAATCTGCATTGTGCTGGCTTGTCCCCTCTCCAGCCAAAGGATTAGGTGATCTGAGTGAGCACTGGCTCTCAACTCATAACAGTACAGATTCTTCTAGTAAACTGTCAAAACTCCAGCGGCACCCTCCTCTGTTAGAGACACCACCCAAGTCCTTTGAACCAGCACAGCCGGTGACATTAAGACTTGATTGGGGGCCAGCCGAGTGGCGCGTTGGTTAGGAGTTGGCTTGGGATGCCAGCTCTGAGCAGGGCCCCAGTTTGGATCCCACATGAGGGCCAGTGTCACTGCGCCCTCTACAGCTAAGATGGTGAACAACAGCTCAACCTGGAGATGGGCTGCCCGTGAGTCGCCAGCAACGGCGTAGGCTGCAGCCCCTGCTGCAGGGGGCTGCCATAAGCTACCGTGAGTGGTTGACAGCCAGCGTGAGCAGCTGACAGCCGGTGTGAGCTGCCAAGAGCTGCCGTGAGCAGCCGTCCAGTGACTGGCAACCGATCTGCCTCACCCGGGAAGAGCGTAATGATAATACCAACATGGGCCAGTAAAGCAACGTCCTCCACAACTAGACTAAAGAACAAAAGGACATCAGCTTGTCTGTTCCCCTTCCCCGATTCCCCAGTGCTGTTCCCCTCCCCCAATTCCCCAATAAAATCTTTTAAAAAAAACAACACCAAAAAATGACTTGATTGGTGTGGTGGCAGCAGTGGCTTCTGAGCTGTGGGTTGGAGAAGGACTTAGATCTTCAGAGCTCTCCTTGAGACCCTGCAGTGTACAGAGTTCAAGCTCAGATCAACCTGTGCCTTCAGCTTTCTTTGTACAATGCAAAGGGGTCCACTTTCCATATGGCTTTCAGAAAAGACTGAGGACTGGGGATGTGGGGAAGGAATAGGAAAAAAATGGAGCTTTGCTTTTGTATTGGAAAAAAAAAATCTTCTCCTTAAAAGTAAAATAGGCTATATTTTATAACCGGTATTACAAGCTACTAATTTCAAGAATGTTTTCAGTTTGGTGAAAAACATTCTCAACAAGGAAATGGAACCTGAAAGGGGAAGCCACTTAACCTGTAGAAGAGGAAGTTCTAACCAGCCAAGTCTCCGGGGGCCGAAAACCTTCCCAGGGTGGTCAGCCATGCTCTGACGTGGAAAACCGCCACACATGGGTCCATCTGGAATGAGCACTTGCTGTAAATCCTTCTGTCCTTGGTCCAGGGTCTTGCAAGTGTCAGAGAAAGAATGGGCTGTCTAACCGCTGGCATTTTTGGAATTTCCAGAGAAAGCCATGGAGATCAGGGTGAAGTGGCTGTGAGTGTGGGTGGGTGTGCTGTAGACTCCAGACTCAGTGGGTGTAGCAGACATTTTTACCTGTAACCTCATACCCTCATTTTGAAGTGCGAAGGAGTCGGCCCACCGACGATTATTGTGGTCTCATCTTTTTGGGTCCTCAGCAGAAATGAGGCTGAAATGGTCCATTATACCTTCTCCTATCTAATAATTCAGACAAGTCATGAACAGCCTCTGTAAGCCCAGGAGGCCCCCTCACAAACATTTTTATAGTTGGAACAAGAAATGTCAAGGTGAATTTGAATAATGACACCTACCTCCCGATAGCAAAAACTGTCAAACCCACGGTGATTTTCTGTTTGCCATAGTAATCGTCTAAGACGGCTCTGTTGAAAGTGCCTTCCCACACAACTGGGGCCTTCCATTCGGTCACTGTCACAACCTCCGGGCGTTTCCTGGTGAAGACAAGATGTACAGCCCTATGAGTTGGGACAGCTTTGCTTTTTAAATATCTTCAGGAAACCTGGGGTCAGCTATGACTGGTAGTGACTGTCCCCGGATCCTGACTGTAGCTTAACACCAAGCAGTCAGCTGGGCCATGTGACATTTCAGGGGCAGCTTCTTCTGGGTGTGGGGTAGGAGGCTGGGGCTCAGGTGCCTCTTAGGGCTGCCTTGGGGGCCTTTGTGGGGATCTGACCTGTATATTTTGTACCCTTTCCCTTTTTCCTATTTTTCTTGTTCCCTTCTTCCTTCTAATGCCCTTTCTCTATCTCTCCAAACTCTTCCTAGGCTGCCAGTGGCATCTCTGGGTGTTATTTATCCTTGTGGGTGCCCTCTGAGCCTACGAAGGGGAATGAGAGAGTGACACCGAGCTGAAAAGAGGAAAAAAACCTGTTACAATTAGCCTTTTGCCAAGAAAGGATTTCTGGGTAGGAACTTGGTTATAGGCCAAAAAGGGCCCCAGATGAAGGGGATTTGGGTATTACCATTCATTTTACAAAAAAGGAGACAGAGGACCCCAGAAAAGAAGGGACTTAATAGAAGCCCCCACAGCCGAGGCTGGAACATGGGGCTCTGCAGACACCTTCCTCAGACCAAGGGGCTTCTCTGCTAGAAGCACAAGCGGGGGAGGGGCATGTTTTCTGCACTCAGAATACTTGAAAGGAACTTGGCAAAGCCAACACAAACACAGGAAGCAACGTAAGAGCTATGATAGACAAACTAAAGGGTAAAGGCAGAAAGGCTGAGAAGCAGCTGGGGCCCAGCGGTGAGGGTGAAACTCAGCCTGGGGCCGGTGGTGGGGGCTGGGCTCTGACCCCCTTTTTTCCTCAGGAAGTAGCTGCATTTCTCCTGCTGGGAAGCGGAGGCTGAAACACAGTCATTTAGATTCAAAACCCAGCATGCAGAAGCCTGCTAGGCCTTCGCTTGTACTTTATCCACTATGAGGAGGTCAGTGTTTGGGGCCAAGTCCTGGTGGTCCCCCATAGTCGGGTCCCTGCTGTCCGCATGCATGTGGCCCGGGGGAGGCTAGGCTGTCAGGGAGATGTGAGCAAACAGATCAGGCCAATGAGAACTTCCCCTCCCCTCATGCATGGGTGGAGGGTGGGCTTCCAGAAAACTACCCCTACCCTACCTCACCCCAGCTCCAGCCCCAGAGTAAAGAGCCTCAGTACATTGGTCCTGGTGCCTCCTGTCCCAGTGTCACCTAGCTCTGCACTCTAATTCTTGAGCTGACTCTGCCCTCTCACCCCAGCCCTGTGCCCTGCCTCTGGACTAATTCCATCTTCCCCTCTGCACAGCTGGAGTCGGCGCCATCCTAGGGGTAGGGGTGGGGGGTGGGGGCCCTCCAGGCTGCTCTCCTGACATTCCCCATCTTGTCTGGAGTTTCAAACTGAAACTCAGCTCTGCCCTCACACCCATATGCTGGCTGCACGAAGGACAGCTGCTCTTGGTTTCCTTCAATCATGAAAGAAGCTATTTTGGATTCTGTGCCAACTTGTGCCAGGCACCTTCACACACACTTTCTCTTTTAGTCCTTGCAGCAGGCATACCACTGTACAGGTAAGAACACCAAGGCTCAGACAGACTCCAAGGCAACACAGCTGGCTGCTGTGGGTGGTAACTACCAAACCCTGACCACTTCCTGTGGGGCCAGGCACTGTGCTAAGGGTTTCACCCTTCAGGGATGGGTGCTATTTTGATTCTCATTTTATCAGTGAGGAAATTGCAGCACGAAAAGGTTCAATAATTTGCCGTAAGTCACAGTAAGTAAGGCGCAAAGCTGGGGTTTGAACCCAGACAGGCTGACTCGAGTCTGCTCTGAGCCACCACTCATATTGCTTCCTATGTGGACATTTACTTGCCATAATGATGAGCTGGGGTTAAAAGCCTGGTCTGTCACTATTTCCACTCAAAATAGCTACTGCAGAAGGAGAAATGATGAGGTTCTTCTCCTTTGTTTTTAGACGCTTATGTGATGCTTTTAGTCACATAAAACCCCCAGCTTTGTTGAATGACAGGATGTCACACACACACACACACACACACACACACACACACGCGCGCGCGCACACACACGCGCGCGCACACACACACATGCACACACACGGCTTATATTTCTAGAACCTTTCTGAACTTAAACTCTCCCATGTATTATCACCTCATTCATTGCAGTCCTTCGTTGTAGCCTGTCAAGGATCTTTTCAGTGGTTCTGACCCAGCTTGCTCGCTAAGTCAATGGAGCTGTGTACGAGTTGGGTATCTGCTAAGCAGGGAATATTATTTTTTAAAAAGGGAAGAGAAAGAGAAGAAGGAGGAAAAGAAGGGAGACGGTATACTTAACACTCAGGGTACCCAGGGGCTCAGTACTTGACTTTCTTTGTCTCACTGAATCCTCACAACCACCTTAGAAAGTGGATGCTGTCATCACCCCCATTTTACAAATAAAGTGGGGGTAGGCGAGGAGGCCAGAACTGCGTCTTTAGCCATGTGACTTACAGGAAAGGCCAGACCAAGGCACACACATTTCCTGAGTCCCTGCTCCTAGCTGGGCTCAGTGCTGAGCATGGAGAGCGGAGAAATGAGGCCCTCATCCCACCCCCTGAGACTCCCAGGTCCCGACAGGCGATCAGCCTACTACACACTCCTCTGCTGCTCGACCACTCAGTCCACAATTTCTAGCAAGACTGGAAACCAGTATCCAGTTTGATTACTTGGCTGGGAAGATTCCTTTGAGCAGGACAAAAAAGTAGCAATATTAAAAATGAATGTTGAATTAAAAATTAAAATGTTCTATTTCCCAGCTGTTAATTATTAAATTCCACTGGCAATTCCAACATGACCAAAAAGCCAGATGAAAATGCTGGCAGTGGGGGGCGGGGGGGAGGAGAGGTATAAAGGTTGAGCTCGGCTTCTTGGATAAACCTCTGTATTAGTCTTAGTCATCAAAACCCACAACTTCCCCCTCTCCCAACCCCCAAAAAACAAGTAACAGGACAGGCCGCACATGTGCCAAGAGCTAGCTTTCTAGCCTTTGCCACTGTCAACTGCCAGAGACATCCAAGGTCACAAAGATGGGGGGCTCTAGAAGGAGCGGGATGTGCCGGGAAAGACTCAGGGATGGCCAGCAACCTTCCTTCCCAGTAGGGCACCATGTGACGTTGGCTTGTGTGGTTCCACCCGTGTCGACCAAAGGCTTCCCACAGAGTAAGAGGGCCTGCAGAACCAAAACACATACCTGCATGGGTTAGTGGTGGTCTTTAAAAAATTTTATGTCCTTATCTGTGGGAACATTGTGGTATCCAAGGGGTGAGTGGAGGAAGTGTTAAAATTGTAAGAATGGTGCAGGTCAACCAAGATGTGGCATGCGTGCCACAGGCTCTTTACCGAGCTCTTTCTAAGCAGCAGCATGCTGGAGAGGACTCCAGAAAGGAGCCGGCGGCAGTGTGAACAAGGGTGGTGGCTGTGGAATGCAGACGAGGAGGTGACACAGGAAGAATTGTGGAGGGAGAAGGAACAGAACACGTTAACAGCTTAGACTGTGAGGTGGATGGAGGGCAAGGCTGAACTGGAGGCCTCGTGGGCTCTGGCTTGAGATGGGAAGTGAGAAGAACCTGGGTGGGGTGCAGTCACGTGAGACATGCAGAGATGTCAGGCAGGCGGCTAGACCCACGCCAGAGGGAAGACGCTGTACAAAGAGATGAGGATGCTGGACTTAACCTCCAGAAACTCTAACATTTGAAGGGTGGGAAGAGGCAGAGGCCCCTGTCAAGGAGACCGGGAAGGGAGAATGGAGAAACAGGAGGAAACTTACGAGGCTCTGATGCCATGGATGCTGAGAGATCTTAATGTGGAAATGTGTACACACTATGCTGCAATATGTTTTAGGTAGAGTACAGAAAAGGATACATTGACATAAATGTATTTATTTGTTCCTGCAGTTGTTCATCTACTCATGCATTTGTGCAAGAAATATACTTTGGTGCCCTGAGAAGTCTTGAATTTGGTGTCGCTTTAAACCAATATTCTTTAAATATCTGCTCGCCATCTGTTTAGAGAGAAGCTGAGCCGTGCACAGAGGCGAGTGGGGAGAGTGACAGCTGGCGGGGCGCCGTGATCTGTCTCTCCTCTCTGCCCCCAGTAATTCAGCCCTGACCCCGCCCCCCAAGTCCCGCTCAGCAAAGCACAAGTGCCACAGTAAAAGTGTGCCACCCTCAGAAGGGAGTTTGGTGACCATCTCTGGCTCACCTAGCCTGATCCTTGGGAGGGCTTAACCCGCCACCATCTAAGGGGCCTATCAAAGCAACAACGTGTCCACAGTCTTAAATTCCCTGTAATAGCTTAGCACCTCATAGATGGCTACTCTGTTGTCCAGCTCCTCCAGTGACACACGGGGGCCCCAATTCCCACCATTCCACACGAGCTTGTTTCCCCAACCCCAAACAATAAGAGAACTTGCCAGGACCCATTCAGTCTTTCCGGATCCCAAGATCCCTCACACTGGAATAGATGCTATTCCTCTGTGTGGGTGGCCTCATCCAGGCTCACAGATGCCACTGTCACCTGTATTCTGATGGTTCCTCCCCCTACATCTCCACCATATATCTTCTGCCAAGCTCAGGCACTGCTATAGATGGACTATTTATGTCCTCCCCCACCCCTACATTCATATGTTGAAACCTAATCCCCATTGTAGGGGTATTTGGAGGTGGGGCCTTTGGGGTGATTCGGTCATGAGGGTGGAAACTTAATGAATGGGATTAGTACCCTTATAAGAAAGATCCCGGGACCAGCCGAGTGGCTCAGTTGGTTAAGAGCTTGCTCAAGAGTTTGAGCGCTGAGCAACAGGGTTGCCGGTTCGATTCCCACATGGACCAGTGAGCTGCGCCTGAACTGAGCTGCCAACAGGTGGCAGGATGGCTCAGCTGGTGAGAGCACATGCTCCTAACAACAAGGTTGCCAGTTCGAGATGGTGGGCTACGTCTGCCTACAACTGAAGACTGAACTCAGCACCTTGAGCTGAGCTGCTGCCCGGATGGCTCAGTGGATAGAGCGTGCGCTCTTAACAACTAGGCTGCTGGTTCAACTCCTGCGTGGGATGGTGGCGATGCCCACCTGCAACTAATTGAACACAGCACCTTGAGACTGGACGTGGAGCTGAGCTAGCTGCGCCCTCCACAACTAAGATTGAAGGACAACAACTTGGCTGTTCCCCTCCCCCAATTCCCCAATAAAATCTTAAAAAAAAAAAGATCCCAAGTAAAGAGATGACATGACTGTCTGTTCATGCTGGCACATTAGTTTATTTTTGTCCATTATATGAACTTTGTGCTCTAGTACTTTCATACCTCTCATGGCAAAGGTCTGAAACTTTTTAAAACTTTCCCAATAAAATGTGTACATTCTTTTGGCAAAAATAAATAAATAAATAAAAAATCCCAGAGAGCTCCCTCACCCCTTCCACCATGTGAGGACTCAGTGAGAAGACCCTCATATGTGAACTATGAAGTGGGTCCTCACCAGACACCAAATCTGCTGCTGCCTTGATCTTGAACTTCCCAGCCGCCAGACTGTGAGAAACAAATTTCTATTGTTTATAAACCATCCAGTCTGTAGTCTTTTGTTATAGCAGCCTGAACCAAGGGCCAAGATAGGTCCTCTGTGAATCTCTGTCCAGATGTCCCCCAGTGCCTGAATCCACATACACCCCCAATCGAGCACATCACTCCCCCTACTTCTAGACCTGCGTCTCCTCCTCCAGGCCCTTTCCTGGTCAATGGCTCCATCCTCACTGAGCAGCCTCTCGGGCTCAGGTCACCCTGGACAGCTCCTCACCTTACTCCCTAACCCACATCCTTCTAAGTCAGGTGGGTCATACCTCCTTACCAATCTTAGCCAATACTAGTTTCACATCTAGGGCCCCTGTAAGACTGTGAACTTCTTGAATATGCCCATATTAACTGATTTCTCCTGTCTCCTGTACCTAACACAATGTCTAGTACAGAATTTTTGGCCACGAATCACGGTGAGAAATACATGTTATGTCACAATCAAACACACGCACATATACACATATATAGCAACAAAAACTCCACTAAACAATGCTTATCCTTACTTCATGCGATACCCTCTGATTTTCTATTTGATTTTCACTTTTTTCAAAAAGCTGTTTTCCACCCATTAAGCTAGTTTCTGAACATATTAATGGATAGTGACCAGTAGTTTGAAAAACACCACCTAGCCTATCATGGGTGTTTGATAAACGTTTGTCGTATGTTTGCTTAACAAATGCCCATTTGGCCCCATGAGACTGTCTATCATCGCTGTCATTTTACAGATGAGTTAACTGAACCTCAGAGAGAATTTTCTTCCTGACTCTAGATGCTGTGGCTTCCCACAACACGCTGTGGCCTGTAAGACCCCTTCTAGCTCCAGCGTTTTGTGACTCATATGCTGCCATTAGCCAATTATTGTCAGAATCATTGTGTTGGCTCCAGCATCTGAATCCAAACATCCAGACTCTTGGTTTCTCCTCTGATCTGTTGTTATAGGTCTAATGGATGCTAAGACTGTGTCTCCCCATTCGGGAATGTTCTCAGTGGCACTGTTGCTGACACAGCCCTGCCACCTCCTGCTGAGTTATGAATTCTACTGCACGTGGGTGACGCTTTTTCTTACTGTGGATTAAACCAGTCCGATAGCTGAAGTTCTTCATTGTCCTCCTTTCGTTGTTTCTGGTCTCTGTCTATGACTTCCTCTTCCCCTTGGTCATTGTGGGTCCTACGTACAAAGGGAAAGCAAGCTGAGTGAGGCAGGGAGGGCGATCTACAGTGTCGGACAGACAGTGCAACAGGCTGGGAGGCAGAGAACACGTGGAGGCAGTGACCCACTGGAGAAAGGTTCATGATACTAGATGGTTGTTCATAAAGACATACCTTTTTACAATTTTTAAAAATATTTTTTAAGTTATAGTTGACATTCAACATTAAGTTATAAGTTGTAGTTGACATTCAACATTAGTTTATACTAGTTTCGAGTGTACAGCATAGTGGTAAGACTCGTACATCATTTATGCAGTGATCCCCCATTAGTCTAGTACCCACCTGACACTATACATAGTTGTTGCAGCATTATTGACTATATTCTGTATACTGTACTTTGCATCTCTGTGACTATCTTGTAACAAAATAAACGAACAAACAAAACAGAAACAGACTTATAGATACAGAGAACAAACTGATGGCTGCCAGAGGGGAGGGTCGTTGGGAAGCTGGATGGAAAAGGTGAAGGGATTAAAATATACAAATTGTTAGTCATAAAGGCATACGGCATACTTTTGATGAAAAGGCGCAGTACCCGTCTTTCTTATTATCTTTGCAAGTCAGCATAGTTAGCAATTTAATGACCCAACAACCTTCAGGTTATTTCAGGGGATGGGGGCAACTTGATAAAAGTTCTCATAAGAACGTTTTATGTTAAGATAGTCTTCCCGGCAAATCGGAACTTCAGCCCACACCTTACTCACCACCAACTGAAATGGAAAAAAACCAAAAAACTTCAATGTTCTAGCCCCAACCATGAAATATAGTCCTTGTATGATTTCAAGGACTCCAGAAAGATGAGTGGTCATGAGAAGACCATGACGTCGAAACCGTTCTATTTTGACTCTCGGTAAGTGTTTAATAGGTGGAAAAGCATAGATCAGCGAGTGTCCCACTGCCTTACCCATTCTTAAACCAGCTTGGAAACCACCAGTCCTTCTGACTGCCGTTGTCACCAAGTTCTGAGTTTCTAAGAAATGAAAAAGATGACAAACATTTTTAGAAAATGAGACAGCCCCAACTAAATGGAGGGATTTTCCAAACTTTTTTATGACAGAAAATCGTTTATAAAAAAAAAAATTTTTTTTTTCAACTGCCAGTTGGTAAAACAGACAGCAGTGAAGCCGCTCTGGCTGAATGAGAGAATATGGACCTGACACTGCCCGGACTTCTCCTCTCTGGGGCAGCCCCCAGCACTCAGCTTATCATCCAAGGAGCCCAGGCAGGAGAGAAGAGAGAAAAGAGTGATGAAGTGGGGGCGGGGGGCATTAATACATAAACCCGAGTCCTGGATCTGCCACTTACTAGTTGTGTGTCTGTGACAGAACCTTTTCCCTCTCTGAATCTTGATTTTTCTCCTCTGAAAAGTCAGATAATAATAATAATAGTAATAATAATAATAATAATAATAAACCTATCATGAAGGTAGCTTTAAGTCTAAATGAAATAGCATACGTAAAAGGGCTTTATAAGTTGAAAATTACTGTAACAAATTGTGATCTTAATAAAGACACCAGTGCCCCTTTCCAAAAAAAATGATCTTTTGTTCAACTAAGAGAATCCAGGTTGCTGCGAAGTGGGGCAGTGACAGCCTCAGGAAATCGGAGGGTCTCTGAACCAGAAACTCAGGAAAGTGAATCAGAAGCCACCTTCCCCACCCACATGGAGAAGTTTCCACTCATTGTGAGAGTCTCCCCAAGGTGAGGGCCTTCTGGGGGAGGGGAAAAAGGGGGAAACCAGGAGACATAATGCCCTTTGATTGGGCAAATGGAGCGGGGAGGCATGACAGCAACAATAATATTAAGAAGCCTGTTTGAAAGTTCATCTACTTTCAAGAAGTGTTTGAGATGGTTTACGATTAAGAAGGTATGGTTTTGACATAAGCAGGGAAATAACACAAGACTAAAGCAAGCAAAAGGGAACAGAAAGAGAAACATTTATTTAGTCACCTGGTAGGTATTTTCACATGACCTGGGTCATCCCAGCCACTTGTGAGAATAAAGGTTTTACCTTTATTTTCATTTGTAGCTAAGAGATTGGCTGAGTGGACTTGGGGAAATTGCCAAGATCCCATGGCATTTCGTAGGCATAAAAGCCTGGATTTAATGCCAGGGGTAAATTATATCAGAAATGCAGGCTGAGGAAAGTACAAGCCGTTAAGCACAACACTTTCTGAGCGTCCTGGCAACAAAACCAAAGATAGAAAAATGAACAATTACATAGGTCTCATTGCTAATAATTAGTAATAATAATTTTATTACTATTATTTTTTATTATAATTTTATTATTATTATTATTATTACTAATTATTAGCAATGAGACCTATGTAATTATTATTATTATTATTATACATACTAATTAATCAGGAACAGGAACCACAAACTTTTTTCATGATCCTTTGTCTCAAAGAAATTTCTTGCAAGGGTCTTTATACAATATATATAATGGGCAGCAGAAGGGACGATATCTACCCTGATTCTTTTTATTAGCAAGGCAGGAATGTTCTCCAAATGACACCACTTAAAGAGACCCTTGAGAAAGAAGCAAGAGCAAAACACAGCCATGGTTCTATAAAGGCACGCCTAGGGGGCAGGAGGAACGCGGTCCAGCTTCCTGGGAACCCATCCCTGCCCGCCACCTCTGACCAGGGCTCCATCACCAGCTGCCACATTAAGAATGGGCTGGAGGAGGCGCAGGAGTGGTCATGAGAGGCATCCCAGAGACATCTAGAATTCAAAGCACTTACTTTGAGTGATATAGCCACAGGAAAGAGCCTTCTGGGCTAAAAGCAAGTGAGAAATAAAAACATATCACGTTACTTTTAATTCTGAGAAAGGCTATTTTGCAAACCATTACCATTGAAGTCCTGGGCAGAGTTGAAAGCCTGGGTTTTAGCTACTCCTAGGTGTCCACTTTCCTTTGAGATATACCAGTGATCTCAAGGGACTGAGAGGTATCACTGCAGTCACTTCAGTACTACCCAGAACAAGCAGGGGTCTGGAGACTCTCACAATATTAGTCAAGAAAAAAAGAAAAAAAAAGGGCCTTTTGAGCTTCCTTTGCTCGGTCCGCTCCAAACTCTTTGGAGTGTACTTTCTTTTCTAATGATGGCCCTTGAGCCGTTCTCTACTGCTCGGGCCCGCTTCTGCTTCTTTGAAATGTATTTTTACTTCTAATAAACTCCTTTTCTGCAACTTTAAAAAACAAAACAAAAAGAAAAAAAAAGGATGAGACAGCCCTCCGTTGTCCAGGGTGGTTTCAACCAGGGAAAGAGGCTCCACAAACGGGTCCCCTCCTGCCACCTCCTCGAACACCATGGCCCAGTCATCCCTCACCCAGGATTTATCTTCCCCCAGAAAATAAAACGAAGGCTGCAGAGAGAGCCTAACGCCACATCTAGCGCAGAGCCTCAGAGACGCAGCGTTCCTCATCTAAAAGCCTGGATTAACACTTACGTCGCTGCTGTTCTAAGAGCTGGAGGGGGCGCATGGCACAGTACTTGGCACATGCAAACACTCAGTAACCAGCAGCTACCGTCATCATCGCTGTCACCATCATCATTGTTTCATTATAACGTTTAAAGTTTCCACCAGTTACAATTCTAAGGTGTTTTGTTTTTTTTCCCTCATCCAGCCTCAAATCATATGCTATCCTGGATGACATTCTTTCAAAATGCTATGCTGACAACAGTGCTGTCTGCTAACCGGTTGATGTGATCGATGTAGTCATTTTAAAATGCTTTTTAGCTCAGTGCTGCCCACCTGTCTAATGTCTGTGCCCTCGGCTCACCTCAAACTGCCACATGGCCAATTCACAAGGTGGCCAAGGATCTGCTGCCTTTTAAGCGCTTTGCAGGCATCCAGGTAGATTCTTCTTGAAGAATCATGTGGCCACAGTTTGGGTGCAATACCACAGCCCTGAAGAGCAGCCAGAACCTGCTCCAGCTATCGAGCAAAGAGAGTGTGCCCAGCACTGCAAAATGACCCTCTTTATGGGAGGCTAGTGCCAATATGCACATTTGGGCCTTTGGCTCCCATATTTTAATTTTGTGAACCACCCAAAATATAGCAGCACAACTCTGGCTGCAATTCAAAACACCAAGTTTATCCAATCAAGTGTTCAGAGCTTGAAGGTTATCCGCACAAGCATCTTAACTCAGGGCAGGACCCCCAAAGGGCACTTGTTCTTCTCTTGGATTCTTCCAATTGCTAGAGCTCTTCCTTCTGTCTGCCAAAACCCTCTGTCCTAGTCTGTCCTCTGGAACTGGTGGTGGGGATGGGGATGGGGATGGGGATGGGGATGGTGATGGGGATGGGGATGGGGATGGGGATGGGGATGGTGATGGGGATGGTGATGGTGATGGTGGTGGTGATGGTGATGGTGATGGTGGTGACAGCAGCTAGCATTTATTGCTTATTAAACCCCGGATATTGCCTAACCTGCTTTATGCCCAATAACCTACTTAATCCTCCCAACAACTGTATGAAGCAGGTACTATTACTCTCTCCAATTTTAAAGGTAGGGAACATGAGGAACAGAGTGGTTGGGCAAATTGCCCAAGGTCACAGAGGAGTTAAGTGGTGGCACAGGACCAACCCCAGGCTGCCTAGCTCCAGACTCAGGATATTTCCTGAGCTCTTACGTACCTAAGGGAGGCTTGGGGCCCCTGCACCCACCTCAGTCATTTTTTCTTCGGACTAGGTACCCCTAGTATCCTCAATTCGAAAGACCTGGTTTGTAGACCCCTTTCACTTGGTCACACTCTACTTGTCTTTTCTTAAAATGAGTTAGTTGTTCAGAATGAAACAGATTAACACCCCAGAAGCAGTCAGATCTATGCAGCACTCCGGGGACCAAATAGCTCCCAAATTCTGGAGCAACTCTCCTTGTATTGATGGACCTCAAGATGCAGTTCCATTTTTAGTAGCCGAGATGGTCCTACTGGCTCATCATATCTTGGCATATAAGAATTGAAAGAGACATTCACATGTTAATCTAGACCATCATTGTGAACTTGGCGGCTACTAAAATACTTCACCATGAAAATATTAATGGTGCCGAGACAGCTCTGCCTGCCCAGAGTTGTACAGTGGACTTTTGGGATTAAAGGCCGAGCTGTGCCAGTGCCTCTTAAGTCAAAGTGGAGACTTCTTTCTGTCAGAAGGCTCTCCAGCTGGAATCTCTGAGGCCTGGTAGTTTCCAAAAGCACAGAAGCAGCTCATATGTTGGGGGTGAATCCACTGATGAATTTGAAAGTGAGATGTTTAATTCACTTTGCTCTTCAAAGTTAAAAAAAAGAAAGAGAGAGAGAGAGAGAGAGAGAGAGAGAGAGAAAAGTTTTAGCCAGGCACAAATGAATCACCAGCGACTCAAGTATATTTTGCAGCAAAAGTCAACAACTTGAGTTGCTCCTTTAAACTGCAAATATTTTAGGATTGCAAAAATCAGGGTGGACTTCTCATGAAATCTTGTCTGGAATTTCTTAAGGTACTGACCATACAAATAATTTATAATTACATTTTGGGCTTAATACAACTTGACTGTTTCTGGATCTAGTCTGCCCAGAACTGCAAAAGTACAAAAATCAAGATATTAGGAACATAGCAAGAAGGAAGATAATTAATTGGCCAGAAAGTACTTGGAGCTCTAATGCTTTTAAAGTTCAGGGTCAAGAATACAGGATGGGTGGAATCTTTTCTTTATGGTTTCCATTAATGCTACTTTTAATCCAACGTGATGACTTGGTTAATACTAGGAGATTAGAGTTAACTTTTATCAACATCATTTCATCGTGTTTCATAATTACCTGTTGATATATTCCCAAAACACAACAATTACAGTTGAGGCAACCAGCATTGACAGAATCACTTTTCCTTTGACATTCATTATTTTCTCCTGAGGGGGGGAAAAAAAAGAAGAGGAGGGAAAAACAGATTCAATAAATCCAGAGCAAGATACAGTTTTTAAGAAATGCTTCTACTTATATCCTCTCTTCAAGGACAAGTTTATGAATATTTAATTGGCATTAAGGAACGTCCTCTACCTTAAATTGCATAGGGCTGCAAAGGCAAATTAGGCCAGTTCCACCAACTGACAGGGTTGCTTGTGTTGGGAAGAATGCTAAGGCCACTTTGGGGCTCAGAGGGAAAGTATCTGATGATCACAAGGTCAGCCAAGGATGAGGAAGCATTAGGGGGTAACTGCAAATGGCCGCCAGCTGCCAGCACTCAGGTCGCCCCATCTCTCGGCACCTGACTGCGGGGAACCATCCATTCCTTAGCTTTGCTTCCCTTCATAGGCTGACCACACGCGTATGCCTAGAGGAGGAAACCACTCAGTCCTTTACAATCTAGGCTCACCCGCTTCCCACCCCCACCCAGCTCTTCCCCTCCACACTGCTCATGCAGGCAAACATTTGGCACACAGTAGGTCCATGAATATTTCTTGATTGCAGCCTGAAATTGTGGTTGAGGGGGGTGGGGAAGTGCAGGTGGGGAAGTAATTTGGGTGGTCGGGGAAGGCCTCGCTGGGGAGGTGACTCAAGCCTCCCAAGGGATGGAGACAGGATGGAAAGGGGTGCAGAGTGCTGTGAGAAGGGATGAGAATGTTTCGGAACAGCATCTATGACAGGCTGGTAGGTGAAAAAGCTTCCTGTGTTTGTAAAAAACAAGCAAAAAACCTGAACAAGGGCCGGCCGAGTGGCGCGATGGTTAAGAGCTGGCTTGGGATGCCAGAGGGCCCCGGTTCGGATCCCACATATGAGGGCCAGTGACACTGCCCTCCACAGCTAAGATGCTGAACAACAGCTCAACCTGGAGCTGGGCTGCCGTGAGTCTCCGGCGATGGCGTAGGCTGCAGCCCCTGCTGCAGTGGGTTGCCATGGGCTACCGTGTGTAGCCAGCAGCCAGCGTGAGCGGCCAGCAGCCGCAGTGAGCGGCCGTCCAGAGGCCGGCGACTGATCTGCCTCGCCCGGGAGGAGCGCAATGATGGTGCCAGCTTGGGCCAGTGAAGCAACGTCCTCCACAACTAGACTGAAGAACAAAAGGACAACAAGTTGCCTGTTCCCCTTCCCCCAATTCCCCAGCGCTGTTCCCATCCCCCCAATTCCCCAATTTAAAAAAATCTTTAAAAAACAAAACAAAAACCTGAACGAAAAGAAAATAGTGATGTCCCCTCCTCACCTGAGTGGCTGGAATAAGGGTGGGGCGCTGGTGGCAAGCAGTTAGAGGTGGGCAGGGCAGACAGAGCCTGGAGGGGTATGGGGAGCCACAAAATCATCTAAAGCTGGGCTATCACCTGATCAGACTTCAGAGACTTGTCTGGGTGCTGGGGGGTGCTGAATGGATGTGATGACAAGAGCAGCTGTGGAGACAGGATATTCTAATGGCCAAAAAGGCAGGTCTGTGCTGAAAAGGTGGCAGAGGAGATGGAGAAAAGTCAATTCATTCCTATACTTTGGAGAGAGAATTGATAGGGTTTGGCGGTAATTTAGATATAAGGGATGAGGGAGAGAGAAGCAGCAAGGTTTCTGCTGGAGCAGGTGGGTTGTAGCAATTCCTCAGATGGGCTGCAGGAGGAACAGGTTTGGGGATGAGAATCATGAATTCCCTTTTGGACATGTTAATTTCGAGGAGTGTGTGGACACCTAAACGGAGATGACAGTAGGCAAGTGGACATTCAAGTGTGAAGTTCATGGGAGAGATGTGGGCGGGACATGCAACTGGACGCGTCCTCCACACGGAGGGTATTGAAGGTGAAGGCAATGAATTCCATTACCTAGGGAGAGGATGCAGAGACACAAAAAGGGAGGAAGATGGCCTTGGGCTGAAGAGACATTTAGAGGTAGGACCGAGGAGGCGATGAGAAGGAGAGGCCCAGGAGGCAGGAGGAAAACCGAAAGAATGGACACCTGGAAGCCAAGGAGGGTGGCCCGCCGTGCCATCGTCAAATGTCATTGCCTTTGTGAAGCCACTTCCACCCACCCCCACCCCAGTCCACCCCACCCTCCGCCCTGACCACCAGCGAAGCCGCCTTTCTCTCCCCGGGCTCCCCCGTCATTAGTCTGAGCTTCTCTGAGGGCAGGAGCGATGACTTATTCAACCCTGAAGTGCCAGTGCCCCACACAGAGTAGACGAGGCCCTCCGTCCATGTTTGGTGAGTGAATGATGTAAACTGAGAATGACACCTGTCAGGGCTCAGGTTATTTTCTAATTCTTTTCAAAGAGGGTCTCAGACGACTTCTAGTCTTGGATCTCATATGCCATATCACCTTTGTTATACATTCAGTTATAGAAGAGAAAGGACAGGATTATCAGCCATGATACTCCAGCCCCCCTAGCTTAGAAAGTGTTTGGAAACAGAAAAGCCAGGGCTGAACTCAAGGTCATAATACAACCTCTAGCCTTCAGATGTGACTATGGTAGCTGGCGTTCCATAGACCCCGAGAAGATGGGCCTGTTGGGCAACATGTAAACCTCCGTCTCGAGCTTCCTCCCTTTGAGTACCACCTCGTGAGCTGGCACACATGGCCTCCGGCCCATAGCAATGTCACAAAATGCAACTTCATGCAACTCAGCCCCACTGTTGGAAAAACCCACTTGAAGTTTACACCAGTAGCACTAGCATTAAAGCGCCAGAAAAGTCCTGGGTTTGGGAGCAAATAGAAATACAAGAGCTGGGTTGAGACGGTGGCCACCTCTCCATGCTTCGCTCCCAGTGTGGATGGTGATCAAACACGTGGGCTTCGGAATGAGGCGGGGATGTGAGCCCCAGCTCTGACACACACAGCGCTGGGTCACCCCAAACACGTGGCTGTCCCTCGGGCCCTCACCCAAATCTCCAAAGAAGCTCTGAAAACCAAAAGCCTTTTAGTAATTCAACTGGCATCACGGCCCTGACGGACGAGAGGCTATTTCCAATCTTTATCCCACTTTTTAAACATTTAAACATTTCTTTGCATAAATATCGATGCATTTTATTATTTGGTGCTGCTGCACTGGGGGTGTTACATCATATACAATATATAATCCACACCTGAAAATTCTACATTCCGGTGTATCTGGCCCTGGGGTTTCAGGAAAAGGGACTGTGGCCCCGTAATGGATGGTATTAAATTGGTTCCCTCGTCTTTAAAAATGCGGATAAAAATGGCTGTGATGGCAAGAAATCATGTCCATAAAATACTTAGCATGGTGACTGGCACCATATAAATGTGCAAAAAATGCTCGTTCTTATTACTGATGTCCATAAAACAGGTTGTTGGGAGGACCTGGTGAGAGAGCACAGTGCCTGGTACTTAGCAAGAGCCCAAAACGTTCTTTGAGGGGAAGGAATGAGAGTTTTGGAATAAGAACAAGTGCAGATAGATGCAAATTAGGGACTCTAAAGGTTTATCCATCTGTTCCATGCTGCAGCCTGATTAAGAGATTCTCGCAAGGGGGACAAGACTTTGATTTTCTTTGGTCAAGGCAGGGAACCTGCTAGGCCACCCTGCCTGTGCTGAGGAGGTGATAACACTGCTGGAAGTGCAACCCAGGCTTTATCAACCCCACCTGATGAGAAACATGAACGGAGAAACACTCAAACGCTCACGGTGAAGAACCCTGACGCTTACATCAGGGAGGGCCCAAATCAGACACATCTCCCAGTGCCCTCTCCGAGCAAGTGTTTATGATTTTTAATTTCAGAAATTAGCATCAGAGGCCACACAGGAAGCCCATTTCTTCCTGGACTTCCTAGATCGCTTGAATCGGCTTACTTTCTGCTGGGGCCAGTCATCACCCTTGTTGAAGATGTAAAATTGGAAGCTGCCCGAATGAACCAAGATCGCATGCTTCAGCAAAGCACTAGCAATAGATGTAGACGTGCTTCCTGGAATCTGGAATCCACATCTCCAGGGAAGAAAGGGTTGGCAGGGTGGCCAATGGATCTTTTAAAACATTTTGATTTTTCTCTCTGGACAAACATGAGGCATTTGGCAACCAGTGTGGTCTAAAAGGACTTCTCGTATGCGTCTGTCTCTCAGAATTTTCAAAACTATATAATTCTGAATGTTGATAGTTGACTTCCTTAGCCACCAACTAGGGAATATGGGGGTTGCTTCTAAATGCCCCCACTTAAGGGGTAGAGCACAGAATTAGGACTGCCGAATATTGACACCCTGCCTCAGCCCTCAGAGGCCTTGGTGAGCGCCACCACATACAGTCCCAGCAAAGCCCTGGCGCCATTTCTCAGGTCCTCCTGCTACGGTGCTTGCCCTTTCTCTCTGAATCCATCCTACCTCCCACACAAGATGCTCCTGGGCCACTCCCAGATCTCAGCCCCTGCAATGGTCCCAAATGAAGCCACTCACAAGACCCCACTCCTGGAAAAGGTGCTAAAAACATGGGGGCATTTCCCAGGGCAGGGTGCTGCTGGAAAGCCTGTCAATTCTCCAAATTCCCTGCTTCGCCCTTCTCCACTCTCCGCTTCCTCCTTTTCCGCTTTAATTTCTCTGGCGTGTCAGACAGACTTTTTCCACGTGGCCCATAAATTCTTCCTTACCCATCCCCGTCCTATGACACACACATACACACACACACACCCTTCAGCCTGGGCTAAGTGGAGATATTCCTTCCGAACAGAAATCCTCTCTGGGGCTGGCCGAGTGGCACGTTGGTTAAGAGCTGGCTTGGGACACCAGCTCTGTGCATCAGGGCCCCGGTTCAGATCCCACATGAGGGCCAGTGACACTGCACCCTCTACAGCTAAGATGGTGAACAACAGCTTAACCCGGAGCTGGGATGCCGTGAGTTGCCGGTGATGGCGTAGGCTTCAGGCCTTGCTGCAGTGGGCTGCCATAAGCTACTGTGTGTGGCCAGCAGCCAGCGTGAGTGGCCAGCAGCTGCAGTGAGCGGCCATCCAGAAGCCAGCGACTGATCTGCCTGGCCCGGGAAGAGCGCAATGATAATATCAACATGGGCCAGTGAGGCGACATCCTCCACAACTAGACTGACGAACCAAAGAACAACAACTTGTCTGCTCCCCTTCCCCGATTCCCCAACACTGTTCCCCTCTCCCAATTCCCAATAAAATCTTTGGGGGGGGAAAAAATAAAATCCTCTCTGAAAGGAATCCTGGAGGACCTTGTTTTCTCCATCTTATGCCAGGGGAAAGTTGAACATCTCAGCTGAATAACAGCAGTCAGAAGCCTGGAAAAGCCATTATCTCCAAGAGCTGGAATCTGCAGGGGGAAAGCAGTGGCAGAGGAAACCAAACCTTCCCGCAGCCAAAGAATGCTCCTCTCTGCCTGTGGTTCCTCCCCCAGCCCCTGGAACCCGTCCCCTGCTCCCTGGAGCTGCCCCTGCTCACTTAAGCCTCAGTCACTTCTGGACGATTAAGATGGGGTCAAAGACTCAACAGGATACGTATCAGGTGTTGTGGGTGAAAACAGGTAAGGGCCAGGGGAGGGCGCAGGAGTGAACTGGGGATTCGAGACTTGGACAAAACGCCTAGCTTCAGTCCTCCATGCCCTCCATTGCAATGTTTGGATCTAGCATTCCAGGTAAAAACGAGGCCAGTGCTGTCTCTTGCATCAGCAATCCTAGACCTTCGGCAAGTTCTCTGACTCTCTGAGCCTGTATTTACAAATACAAAGTGGAGCTTCAAGCACCCTCCCCTAGGGGTCTTGAAAGGACAAAAGGAGGCCGTGTGTATGAACCACATTGCACTCATGGTCAGTAAATGCTCCATGAGTGAAAGCCATCAAGATGGTGGTGCTTTTTAATGCATGGGTCTGAATGCATCGTAGAGGTGCCTCAGCAACCCCCAGGGCAGCAACCCCCAGAAGGTCCAGGCAAGCCCACCCCCACCTATCCCCACTGTGACAGTCAGCTCCCCTCCCATGCCCCCAGCTCCGGGCCCAGCCGCTCACTGTGTTTGCCCCACTGCCCAAGCTGAGCCGGAAGGAAGGTGAGCACACCTGTAGGTCAGCCCCAGCGCCCACACAGAGCCGGCCTTGTAAACTGGGGTCATTCATGAGTTTCTCTGGACTTTGTGTCCCCATCCCTGAAATAAGTCCTTTGGACTTCACTTTCCATGACCGGCTTTCCTGATTGACCCAGTACGTGGATGAGAAATCAACCACAGGGCTCGAAGTCTCATTATAGGAGGGCAGTTCACTCAGCCACACGGAGGGCATCTCGCTGCAATGGCCATGTGGATTCCTTCAAGTGATGATTAAAGGATAAGATTACTGACCAACACAAGTTGAGCTCAGAGGCCAACTTACCCCGAAGCTAATAAAGCCTGGTGTCAGACCCCCTTGCAAGACTGGAGTGGGGAGTGGGTAATGCTTCTCAGAGGCTGAGTGTCCCCCTGCCTGGGGGAGTCACTCCAAGCTTAGCGCCTGGCCAGGGGCTGCAGGTGGGGCTGAGGGACTCACCCTACTACCTGCACTCCCACTGAGATCCCAGTAACAACCTGCCCCAGGTGGCCCTTGCTGAGCACCTGGGAGCCTTCCACTTTGATCTCAAGGAGAAGGAAGGCGCTGAATCAGACGCTGCTTATTCCCTGCTCAGAGGTCATGCTCACGGCCACCTCATGCCCACACCCTGCATCCCACCCCATCCAGGATCAGAGTGCTGAGTTCTCCGGTGCTCTGGCGGGAGCCACCTGAGCAAGAAACTGCCGAAAGATTTACAGATGTGGCCTCACCAACAAGTTGCAAAACTGAAAGAAACTTCCAAACTCTCAGTGATAAAAAGCAACCATTGATTAATCATGCTCAAGGCAAAACTGATTTGTCTTTCTTTTCTCTGTACTGAAAATGATACTACAAAATCTTTTTCAGGTAAAGAGGCAATCCAAGAGGATGCAGTCAAAATAGGACAGGTGCATTAGACACCCAAGTAACACTAATCATGTTCATGTTATTTTCCCATCATTTGATTATGATGTTTTCTGGATTCTGTCCTACTTGGAGTATCAGTGAGTCTTTGTTATTTGTTGAGATATCTCTTCTCATATTCTAAAGTTGTTCAAGTTGACCCTTGAACAATGCAGAAGTGAGGGGTGACGACCCCTGTGCAGTTGAAAATCTGCATATAACTTTTGACTCCCCAAGTCTTAACTACTCATAGCCTACTGTCGATGGAAGCCTCACTGATAACATAAACAGCCGATATTTGTACATGCATTATATACTGTATTCTTACAATAAAGTAAGCTAGAGAAAAGAAAACATTATTAAGAAAATCATAAGGGAGAAAAATACATTTATAGTATTTCATTGGGAAAAATTGGTGTATAAGTGGACCCGCACAGTTCAGACCCATCCTGTTCAAGGGTCAACTGTATCCACTTCCATGCCTAACATTGAATTTGCAACTTTGCATTCTTTTTCTCAAGAGGGCCCTGTAAGCCTTGACTGTTGCCCGCTGAAGCAGGCCAGGCCCTGGGCTAAACACTGTACCAGCAGGCTCTCCGGTGAAGCCTCTCAGTGACCCTGTGAAGTCACTCTAGAATTATCCTTAGTTTACAGGTGTGAGGTGAAGTAACTTGCGCCAGGTCACACAGCATCAAGTGGTGGGGCCGGGATTCAGGTCAGGGTGTCAGCCTCCCGCGGCGCCCTTTTCACCACTCTGTTCTCAGTAAACACGAGGGTGCGCAGGGACTAATCACGCAGGTCTTTGGCGCCTCTGCCATTCCCAGGTCCTTCCTGTGTGCCTGGTGTGGATTTTCCCCACTCCCTACACCTTGCTCATCCCTCATCGTGGTCAGTGTGGTGGCTTTTCAGTTGAGGAAACTTAGCTTTAGTGGAGGCTGAGATCACAGACAGGACTCGCCCAGGGGTGTGTGTGTGTGCCAATTTGAAAAGCAGACCCTAGGCCTCCCAGGCCCAGCCCCCTGGCATGGGGACGGTGTTGGGGGAGAGGAGGAGAGTGCTGCTTTACCCTTGCACCTCTCTAAATTGGTGGGCATTACAGGGAAATGCTGCCCATTGGAAGAAACGTGGTACAATTCATGGGGGAGGGGGGGGAACAGTGCATGGAAGGCTGTTTCCAGTTATGTGTTTCATTATGAGGGTCAGGTAAACACAGACAGGAAACTAAGAGACAAGTCTCAGACTAAATACAGGGCTCACGGTCGCTCTAGCCATCTCAAACGGAACAACCTGTTCACTGAGGTACATCTTTGTCGTGCCTTTTCTGGAATCCCTTTCAGGAAATCTGAAGCCTGGATCCAGCCAGCTTTTCCTTGCTGCCTGGCCCAGACATCATTATGCAAGGGTTTTTCCAGGGGAAATAAGGAAAAGTAAACAAACGCAGGGCCTCCTCTGCACCCACCCGCAACGCAGCCACCCAGGCACCCAGACTCACCCTCTTGCTCCTGCACTGTGCCTCTGAACCCTGTAGAGAAAACTCCATGCCCAGGGCAGCACAATACAGCAGAACTTACAGTCGAGCCTCTAAGCCAGCATCCACCCCACCAGCTCCCACCTCCAGAGCGCTTGCCGTGGGGAGAAGGACTTGGTCTTCCTACAGAAATACTAAGGGGGACCAGTGAGAGGCTAGGGGGAGGGCGAGGGGCCACCCCCAGCTGGTTCCATGCTGCAGCCTGCTCGCAATTCCCCCCAGTGACCCCGACAAGGCAGAAGTAAATCATTTCAACATTTCACATACCTCATCGTCTGCTTCTCTCCCCTCAGAGTAAAAGGCAAAACAACAAAGTTCTATTGAGCTTCGTTCTGCAGAGGAGGCAGGGTTGGGAGGCAGGGAAGGTGCTGTGGTCCAACTCCTGTCAAAAGAATAAACAGCTGTTTCAGGACAAGGGGGGCAGACAAATCCCACAGCTGCCACAGACTTTGTTTCTTGCTGGCCCCGGGAAACGGGCTGTTTATCAGGCCTGTTGACTCAGAGCTGCATGCCAAGGCACAGACATGTCTCCCTGGGCCCATGAGCAGCCTTGGCCTCCTTCACCAAGGGAAACTACAGGTCCAAACTCGGCCTGCTGTTGGAGGAGGGAAGGCCACCACCCCTGAGAGGGACACACAGGCTGCCTACATCACCCATTCCTTGGCAAATACAGGAACTCTTCTGAACCCAAACAACCCCCAGTGACTACTAGCAGGACCAGCCAACGGAGAAGTGAAAAAAAGAAAAAATATTTTTTACATGCAGAGGGGTGGGTGAAAGACAGAGTCCCCTCAAGGCTCCCGTTGAAACGCTGCCTAAACGGTCCTCGGAGTAAAGCCTGTCCTCTACATCCTTTAGGCGATGGAAGTTGTTTTGTTTGAACGCTATTTTTATAGAATGTTATGAGATCTCCCGCATTGCAAACCAAGCTATAAGAACTTTAAAAGGTCATAAGGCCCAACCCCTCTCTCTGGCTGAATAATGCTTAACCCTTCCCACACCCACCTCCTGCTCCCAAAATAGAATTTTCCAGCTGGAAGGGACCTCAGAACCCTGCATTTTCAAACATCGAAAACAGCTAAAAGTTTTTCAAATAACACATGAAGTCATCCTCAGAACTCCATGATGTGAACCAGAGGACACGCAGTGCTTTGGCTGAAGCAGAGAAACAAAGCTCGAAGCCCCCCTACCCAAGCCTTCCCAAGACACCTCCCAGGAGGACAGTCTGGAAACCCCAGACTAAGGGGAGGGAACCAAAATCCGCCAGAAAGGAGCCAAGGATTGCTCCCCACCCTTAAGTGATGCCTAACCCAGCCTTTTCCTCCAGCTCTCCAAAGGAAACTTCACAGCCCCCTCCTCTGGGGGGCGTGAGCTAGTTGACTGCAATCCTTAGGGTCTAGAAGTTCTTCCTAGCAACTTGCTTAAATCCTTCCTGCTGGTATCTACCAAAGCTGAATAAATGCACACCTTACGACCAAGTCATTCCACTCCAGGTGTGTACCCCTCAAACAAACACACACACAAGCTCACCAAGAGACATGGCATGTCACAGGACACGGAGAACTGGAAACGACCCCAGGCCTCTCATCAGAACAGACCCACTGGGATCTAGCGTGGGATTCTGTACACAGCAATGAGAATGAACCAACCACAGCTACGAACATCTACAGGCGGAATCTCACACACACAGCACTGAGTGACAAAAAGCCCTGGACAACTCCATTTGTTTCAAGTTTAAAAATAGGCAAACCCCATCTGAGGTGCTAGCAGTCAGGATAGGGGTGGGTGAGAATGGGAGGGGGGCCAGGGGCGCTGGGGGTTGGACATGTTGTTTCATGGGCTGGGTAGTGGTTACACAGGTGTGTCCCCGTGGTGAAAACACATCACAAATGTGCCTTTTCTGTGTGTATGTTGAGAACAAAAATGAACAGGAACCTTCCTGCTGGAAGTTGTCTTCTCGCGGGCATTCTGTCTTCCCCTGACACTGGCTCGAGGGCCACGGGGCCATGCACACACACCGCCTTTTCCTTGCCTTGGTTCCCTGCCCCAATACCAAGCACCTCACTAGGGGTTCATGGAACACCTGTTGCATCAAACGCTCCAGAAATCTTTACCTATGGCCAACGGGGAGGGGAGAGGTAACAGTTTGAAGGCTAAGGAGCTGGGCTAAGATAAACGGGTCCTTTTGCCAAGCAAGCACCGATCACGGGCAACGTGGGGCTCCCACTTCCAAGTTTACAAAGCAGCCTCTCTGTAACCTTAGTGATCCTCAGTCATTCACAGGTGGTCAGGGGACAGAGGAGGCTCTGGAAGCCTCAGTGACTTGCTCAAAGTCGCCAGCCAGTGGGTCCTGTGCTGCTCTGCCTCCCTAGCTGCTTCCAGGGGACACTCTACAGGTCAGTGGAATTTGAGGCTCCAGGCTGGTTAACCACAGCTCACCAGAGCGTGCAAACCTGGAGTGCAGAAAATTCAACTCCTACAGTATCCAGCATGATCTTATTCCTTCCCTGACACAGCTCTCATGCTCAGACTCTCCCAACAAAGGAACACACACACACACACACACACACACACACACACACACACACACACACACACACACACACACACACACACACACGGCCATTCCTTAACTGAGCGGCAGAGAACCTAGTCAATGAGCCTCGGGCCAAGGAGCTCTGCTCAGCAAAGGAGGCGGAGGCGGCCCAGGTATGAGCTTGGCAAGGCGCCTGGTCAAACTGACTAATCTTATCATTCCATGGTCATTAAGGCTCCTTCCAGTCCTAATAGTCCTTGGGTCTATCAGACAGCAGCCAGCACTCAGTACCCGTCACCCCAGTCGGAGGATTGCAGGGTCTGGCAGTTGCAGCCGCCCTGGCTTTGCATCCCAGACCACTTCCTAGGGGGAGAAACGAAGGTCAGGATCCCCACCCTGCTTGCCTCTGCGAGGGTGTGAGGATGAAGTGTGGTTGAGAAACGACCCTACAGACAAACACAGGCTGTCAGTATTTAATCCACTGATAGATACGTTTCAGGCCGTCACAAAAGATGTGCTTGCCAATGGTTGCGTGTGATAGGGCAGTTTGGTTGGCTTCCTCCTCTATGTCAGGGAGGATGTTTCATCCCCGTGTCTCAAGGTGAATGAGGGGCTGTAGAGTATGGTGGTTACAAGCATACACTCTGGGGCCAGGCTGGCTGGGTTTGAGTGTTGGCTCTGCCCCTTATGCTGTGCCATCCTGGGCAACTTGCTTAACTTTTCGGTGCCTCCATTTCTACATCTGTAGCCAGGCGCCAGATTACAGTGGGTCAAGGAATGAACCAAAGGTGAGGAAGTGATGTCAGTAAGTGTAAGGGCCTCTTGCTTTCCATCACAGGAAGGGACGGAGAGAGGGCGCCAGCTAGAGGCGCCCTGGCCAAAACGGGACATTAACTCCGAAGCACACTGCTGAGAGTGGGGACACCTTGATGAGACAGAGCCAAGGGGAGAAAGGCTTTGGGGATTCAGAGGAGGGAGAGGACAGGAGGATGGAGGGGTGCCCCTAAGACAGGCACAAGGTGTTCCCCAAAAGGGAAGGAGACAGGCTGGATGGGTTAGTGATAAGTTTGGGAGACAAAGTGGGAAGTTGACAAGTTCCAATCCAGAGAAGCTGAAGCGTGGAGGACAAAGTGGGTGGGGTGTGTGGGTGGCAGAGAAGCTGGGGTGGGGGTGGGGGGCGTGCAGAACCCTCTGTCACCAGGAGCTTTGAATCTGCACCACGCAGAAGACTCTGCCTTTCATCCTGAAGGTACTGGGGAATCCTTCAGACATTAGGCCAAGGGAATCCATGACATGTTTTTTAGAAGAATTACACGGCTGCAGGGTGAGCGTGGGTGGGAGAAGGAAAGTCTCCAGCAGGGAGACCAGCCGGGAGGCTGCTGGCCCATGTCCAGGTGAAAAAGTGGGGAGACCTGACCCCATGGGCTGAGCTGGAAGGCAAGGCAGCAGCCATTTGAGAGGAATGAAGGAAGGGACATCCTGAGACCCTGGGTTACGGGAAATCAATTCTCGTTCAAACGTGGCTTAAATGTCACCTTCTTTGTGAGATCTTCCCGGATTTAAAATGACTTTCTGTTTGCAGTGCATTTACAATATTTACCTTTTAAATTTCTTTCTTCCTCTACCAGAATGTCAATGCTACAGGCAAACACTTTTGAATGTTTTCTACCACGTGGAAGTGCCTAATACAGCACCTGGCACTCATACATCTTTGTAGGCTAAACGCATGACTAGCTCAGTGCTTTGCACCTACGCGTCCTATAACTGTTAACTATTTTTTAAATGGATGGCAATTATACCATCAACAATAATAGGGAGTGATGGGATGAAGGCAGGAGACAGACGCGAGTCTAGTCCAGTGCTACCTGCTGTGTGGATTGTGAATGACCAGGGGCGTCAGCATCACCTGGGAGCAAGTTAGAAACACAGAGCATCAGACCCACCCAGGCCGAACCATCGGATGCCCAGGGCAGACCCAGAAATCTGGGTCTGCTGAGGTCTCCAGGTGGTTCTGATGCTTCCTCAAGTTTGCAAAGCTCTGCTCTGGGCTGGTTCCCAGGTTTCTGGTTGAAGTAGGTGAGTGGATGGTCTTGCTGTTGACTAGAAAATGGAGTGGAGAGAGCTGGTGAGTTCCTTTCTAGAGGCATTGAGTTGGAAGAACCTGCTGGAACCAACTCAGCAATGGCGGCCTAGAGAGAAAGCCCGAGTGGAGCCCAATTCGGGAGTTGCGAGCGTCAAGGCAAGAACGGGCAGGTCTGATGTGTGCTGATTGAGAGCAGGGTGTGGTGTCCTTAACGGGCACCACCCCGAAATCTGAGTGAAGGAGGCAGGGGAGAGAGGCAGGAGAACCAGAAACAGAAAGGGAAGGAAGCAAAAGCTACACTTGAAGTCCAGTCTAGGTTCTCCGCTCGCCTCCACCGGCAGCACTGTCTCTCATCTGACCACCTCTGGCCCCTCCTGCCTCTGGGAGAGAGAAGGAGGCCCGGACATGTGCCTGGGCAAGAGGGCAGCTGTCTGAGAACCCCAAGGAGTGCCAGGCAAACAGAGATGTAGCCACACAGAGATTCTGTTCCCAGCTCTGCCACCAACTCCAGGCAGCCCCCTGCTGAGCCTGGTTGATCCCCACCCCTGCCCCCTCTGCTGGATGGAAAGGCTGGGTGAGTATCTCTTATTCTGCACTGTATCCCAGTTCTGGGGTTCACAGCAGCCCACAGGCCCAGCCACAGACTCTGGGCCAAGAGCCCCTGCATAGGAGCAGTCGGTGCTTTCAGAGCTGTAGGCATATGTGGTGAGGCTGTGCAGAGCAGCGAATAGAGGAGATGAGCCTTTGGTGGAGGGAGGGCACT